CTTCCAGGTCGATACCGACCCATCCACTACCACTCTCTGGGTATGATCATCTAGCCAATTTGCCACCCATTGGACTGTGTAGTCATCCAAGTCACAACCTCTTAACTTGTTCACCAGGATGGGGTGGGATACCGTATCGAAAGTCTAAGTAAATGATATCAACCCCTACTCCTGTGTTGAGGTGTTTTGTAACCTGGTCATAAAAAGAGACTAGATTAGTCAGGCATGATCTACCTGCTACGAACCTGTGCTGGTTTCGCCTCATCATAATTTTTCCTGCTGGGCTCTCACATATGTGAGCCTTAATAATCTTTTCAAAGACTTTGCCAAGGATGGAGGTGAGACTGACTGGCCTATAGTTGTGTGGATCCTCCTTCCTCCCCTTCTTGAAAATAGGGACCACATTGGCCCTTTTCCAGTCCTTCAGGACCTGTCCCGTGCACCATGAGTGCTCAAATATTTTTGCCAGTGGCTGTGCAATGATATCAGCCAGTGCCTTCAGTACTCTTGGAAAGACCTCAGCCGGGCCTGCCCACTTAAACACATCCAGTCCTTCCAAGTGACTCTGCAACATCTCAGGGTCAACGCTTGGTAGTTTGGTGCCCAGCTGTGTGGTAGTCTGGTGCCCAGGTTGTGTTTGCCAATTCTAGTATGATACTTAGGTTGCTCTTAGCTAGCAGTTTCTGAAAATATAATTAAATGTCCTCATCGTCTTGTCTGGTTTAGGGCATAGGTTTATGATTTAGGGAATTTGTATCTCATTCCTAGCTCTGTCTCAGACTTCCTTTGTAATCTCTGGCTAGTCTCTTAGTACTTCTTTCACTTAGTTCCCAGCTGTAAAATGGGATAATAACACTTCTTTGCATGTTGGTCTGTGCAGATTTTAAAGTCTTGGGGACAAAGCTGCTGCTTAATATATAAATCTACAACACCCAGGACACAAGAGCCTCTGTTTCCTTGCCAGATCATTATCTGGTGTAATTAAGACTTGTAGCAACCTGCATTGAACTTGGAGCACAAGTTGCAAAAGGTACCAGGAATGGAGTTTGTATGCACATAGATTGAAAGGTCGCTGCACTATCAGCATCTCTTTAAGTAGTTCTCTTAATAAAGCAGCATCTTAGTTTTATAATCTTTTCCCATTATTAATCAGGATATGATGCATGAAACCCAGCTAGAGTGATCATAGCAAGAAAGAGAGTGCAAGTATTAGGAAAAAATAATAAAAAAGGAGGGTACTTAGAAACAGGAAAAGTAGGCAGCATTGAGGTACTCACACTACCAGGAATGCAGTTATCCAGATGAGAAAACCCTTGTACAAATGTGAAAGTGGAAACTGTGGACATCAAGCAGCCTCAGGTGTACACTGAACCTGACTGTAGCTAATGACGTCCTCATTGTAAAACAAGAAGAGTTAATCTAGGACTGTGATATGTGGCTCTGACACTCCTACTAAGGTGTCAGCAACAGAATATTAAACTGGTTGCAGGTTAGTCAATAGAGATAAGGTTCCATATGCTGCACATCTGTTGATTTCAAATAGACTCTGAGAAATGGAAAAATATTTATTTATTACATTTATATACTGTGGCTTATAACAGACAAATGACCCATAGATAGGAGATAACTACAAAATAGGAAAACAGTTAGGGAAATGCCCAGACCACAGGATGTGGAGGGGGCCTACCGATCTATAGGGATAGCCAAATATCTTCTTAATATTTGTGCATGGCTATTAGAAACCTATGAATCATTGGGACAATTAATATAGTGCGGAATGGTCAGATATCTAAGAATGCATATTTGAAATAGAAAAGCAAAACGTAAAAAAAAGGAGGCACTGATACAAAAGTACTACAGTTCTGTGTAGCAGCTTTGTGCTACAGAAGCCCAAAAGATGAACCAGGATCTGTAGTGATGCAAAGCCAAGAATCCTTGCAATTTACTAACGGAGCTTTGGCAGACATATGAATAGGTTTGCTCATGTGGCAAAGTTGTTATTAGTTGTGCCCTTTGAAGTGGAGTTAGTTCCATCAGTTCATCATTGGACCTCCATAATAGATCCACCACAGTGACTGTCTAGTAGGACCAGGGGCTCATGGGTAAGAGAACCGAGACTGTTCCATGAGATGTTGTCTTTTGCATCCCAGTGGAGTACAAAACAAAGTAAACAAGCAGTGAAGAGAGTGCCAAGCTAAGCAGGCAGCCTGCTGAGACTAGGGAACCATAGATCTAAGGTAGTTGCAGGTTTTGCTTCCACCGTTAAACTAGCAATACAAAGCAATAGCAAAAGGCAACAGTCCGAGCTGCAGCTGGGACATAAGTCATATGAGGTACCTACAGATCAAGCACAGTGTTAAGACTGAAAATAGCTGTGGAGCAGGGGAAGATAGCCAGCATACTGATGTAAATAGTGCCAACCCATGGTCAGCAGGATTTAGAACATGTCTCAAAAATCCCTTGGCTTGACATAGTAAAGTCAGAAGAAACAAGGTGCATGAGCAGTGCAGAGGACCAACAGGATGCCATCCAACAGAATGGATACATCGACAGGGTGGGAAAAGTCCTTGCCAACAACCATAGCACAAACCAAATATATTGGTTTGAAGACTTGTGAAGGGCCTGTGAGACCTGTCAGGCTACAGTGACCTGGTGATAAAAGCCATGTCCTTATTGTTGGTCATGTACTAGTAACTCCTGACCCCAGCAAGTCAGCACACCTTTGCAGGAGGTACAACATCAATAAAAATGTAGAGGAAAACATCAGCAACCTGAACATGGAAGTTAGAAGGAGGAGTCCAACTTGTGTTTGGGAGGAGTTGGAGGAATTACCAAGAAATTAGCTTGTATGCAGGTGGCTTGAATGGTAAGTGTAGTTGCCACACCTCTGTAAATAGTTCTGTGTATATAAAGCCAGTTATACCATGAAACGACCCTATTCTTATAAAATATAACTGAACACACAACACAAAACAATTCTGACCTACATGAGATCTGACTATCACTTGTGGCTTCTACCCACCTCTGTAATATAAAGAAACAATAATTCAGGGCCATATTCCATCCTGCTTATCCCTATTTAGTAGTAGCTTATTACATGTTAAGCGTCATTAGTTTTAATATGATTAAATACTGAGTTAAGGTACTATTATGTGCAGCTGAGGTAGAAACGTACTGTCATGCCAAGATTATGGGAGGTCAGTGACAGAACCAGAAAGAGAACACTGGGGTCCTGCCTCCCAGGCCCTTGCTTCAAATGAGAAGTTTTTGTTTGGCAGAGCTGACTCGGGTGAAGAAATTGGAGACAGCTTCATAGAAATGAAGTGTTAAGTTCTGAGTAAGTGTATGTAAACCATGAAATACCTTCCAGTATGCAAGGGGTGAGAAAGAAGGGAGTAGGCAGAAGGGCAGTGACATATGAGTACAAGGAATTGAGGCAACAACACTGGACTATCTCAAAAGAAGTCCAGTTCTTTATTTTTCCCTGTGCTGCAAAGTGGACAGGTACACATATGAACACTTTACAACATTCCAACCTCAGACTTGATGAAATT